CTTTTCAGTTTATTTGGTCTCTCAGTATGATCTTAGAAAATATCTGATACCCTCATGTGTGTATTTCAGGACAAAATGTAAACGAGATAAGATTTAGATTAACATATTTTTTTAACAAATAGGCCTTTTTCACAGCTTTAACTTGGAAACGCTTTATATCCAAACGTATACCATATTTCACTATAAAAAGAGTTTTTGCTAAAGTTGAACTTTCTCCAAATCGTTGTATCATAACGTTCCCTGGGCAGAAGTTGCCAAGCTCAGCTTTGGGTCCATTTATAGTACAATTTAAGTTTTAAATGTGACAGACAATTAACACAAAGTTCCCAGCAGAGATTAGTTTGTGTCAAAAAACTCTTGTTTGTTTTGAGGAGAAGTTATAGGCTGTTTTGCTTCTCTAAAATGGGAACCAAGCCAACATCGGAACACCTGGCAAAGGATGATAGAGGCTGAGCTCCAAATGACGGGATTCTCTAGAGACACTGTGCCACTAAGATTGGGACCTTTGCCCCAAAAAAAGCAAACTGTCAGTCCTTCTTCTTTGATCTTGTGTTAAGATGAAACTTCAGTTCGAGATTTTCTTGAGACGGTCAGATGTGCATTCATCTCTGCAGTCTTTCTTGAGGCAGCTTGTGTTCGATGTATTGTATTATACAGGTGTTCATGCACCCCATGTTTTAACCATGACAGCTCCGTGGTTGTTCTCTTGGTCCCTCTATAGCTCTTCTCGAGAGACCGTGTGTGTGTGTGTGTGTGTGTGTGTGTGTGTGTGTGTGTGTGTGTGTGTGTGTGTGTGTGTGTGTGTGTGTGTGTGTGTGTGTGTGTGTGTGTGTGTGTGTGTGTGTGTGTGTGTGTGTGTGTGTGTGTGTGTGTGTGTGTGTGTGTGTGTGTGTGTGTGTGTGTGTGTGTGTGTGTGTGTGTGTGTGTGTGTGTGTGTTTTGACACCACGTTCTCAGAGGAGCCACTATATCAACCCTCATACACAGCAACCCACCTTTGTTAATTCGTACATATAAACACACCCATAAAAGACGGTACTAGCTACAAACAAAGAGCCACAATCCTGCTTAAAGTCATACACACACACACAAACACACACACATACATTTATATATATATATACCATATTCACATTTTTATATTTCTCTCCCGCCACTAACTCAGATAGACAATAAAGCAGTTTGAATATACACACCTTTTTATACATTTAGTTTTGAAAAATCTTTTAATTTTTCTTTATTCTGACTTTTTACTTTGAATTCTTAACTCGACCTCCGAGAAGATTTCTAAAATGATGCCAGGCTACGCTAGAAAGATACATTTTCATCTGTAATTCCTAATAATTATTTATTACTGCTTGTCTCAATTTGTGAAAGCTTGTCATGGAGAATCCTGAGATTACAATTTGTAGAGGATCTAGAGTAAGACTAGTAACTTGGACATTATTATTTAAATCAGCATTTTGTTCCCATGTGGTTCTACCATTACCTTTACAAAATCTGCAGAGTCTCTTTCTTTGAACTGTTGCTGCAGTTCAGGGCTGCTGATGGAGCAACGATGAGAATCTCTCAGCAGCTAAACTCTGATAAGAGGAGACACACGGAACAGACTGTTTCAGCTGCTTGTCACTGTGTGTTGCTATGGTGCTGATACCCTGCACTGTTTGTCAGGGAGCTCGCTTTACTCTGGGTGGCCTCCATGTGGCAGAAGTAGTAATATGAAAAATATGGCTTTGTTTTTGTCTGCTTGATCTCTTTTTCACACACTGCCTCATGCCTCTGGTCAAATGTCATATTCACAATTTACAGTTATGCTGTATTGAAAGGAGACCTACAATGGGTTTTCCCTTTCCTGTCGTGTGTTATATAGGTTTTTGTGCATGTCAATGGTCGGCTAAGGTTAAAATCCCAAAGTTCCCTCCTGAGGGATTTTCTCTCCAACAAGTAGAACTGAGAACACACACACATACATTTAGATGCACTTAACACAGTGTTCATGCAATGACAGTATAACACATAACCTGGCTCATCATCAGATGACTCATTATGAGAATGTAATAGTTTTATTGCATGAGACATGAAGCGTGCCGATAAGACAGGAGAGGCTCCATCTCTCGGTACAGAAGACAGAGAGGAATCTGTTGAATGCCTCGAGCCTTTGAAATTCCTCTTTTGATAAGAATTCTGAAATGAAACAAACTCCATTATGACATCCTTTGTATAAAAAAAACTGCATTAATAATATGTTATCTGAAGTAGACTTTCAGACTTTTCTATAATGACAGCTTGTTTTTCTTTGTGTGTGTGAGTGTGACTACTGAAATCTGCCCATAACTGCACTATTTTACTTGAGAGAGCATGGATTGGTCAGTAGTTCACTTACAAATTGGCTCATGTGAGGGTGGAAATCTATCAAGTTTGTACACTTGTACAGTGTACACTTCAAGAGTTCCTTATTAATTCAATGAACAACTACTTTTTACAATTTAATTTGTGACAACAATTATAGGTCCACCCTTTCTCTGTTCCTGCCAGAATGTCTCCAGGTTTAATATCTGGAGAGTTTTGAGTCTCTTGTTGGGGTCTGATTCACCTGCATTCACAGTTAGATCATACTCATAACTGACAGTGTTACTGAAGACGCCGGAGCAAGAATAACAACATTAATTTAAACAGTTACAAACAATAGATTGTTCTTGAACTCCCATTCATCTCCCAAGGCTTTTCAGGATTTACTCTGAGTTCAGAAGAGAATACACTTCTATAAATAAGTATCAAGCTAAATGAACCAGAGGAACATGATGTGAACTGTTCAACAGAGTGCTGTTCCTCTTTCAGGCTGGTAGGGGATGCTCTGTTTTTGGAAGACTTGTTTACTGCCAGCTTCCTTAATTTGATGTAACTAGCCCGTTTGTATCTCTGCTTGCTCCAGTGATTTCAAAGTTACACCTGTCAGATAGATTAGAATTAGACACTTCAGCTGGGAATAATCCACAAAAAAGAGGTGATTTCAACTGGTGCTTTATTCTAGGGTGTTGCAGGGGTTATAAGAAACTAGAAATATTGGACATCAAAAAAAGAAAAAGAAATGGCCTCAGTTCTTGTTGTTTAAACCATGAGCAGCAGAACATGTCTTCCTCAGTCTGGATCTTAGAGAATTACATTTGGAGTTGTTGTCTTTCAATTCAAATGATTTGGAACCAACCAAGGGGGGAAATGTACGTATAACTCGGGGTTGAGCAGGAGACTAATTAGAAGTCAGGTTCTTAAAATGAACTCATGCTACTTTGAGGCATGTTAAGGTCAAAACCTTTCCCTAAAACGTAATCAATACTAAAATCATGCCGCAGAGGGTTTGGATTGTTTTTTCTGTACATTTTTGGGGAAAAACTACATCTATACAAATGTGGAGAAGTACAATAAAGAGACTAAATAAATACATCAAACAGTTAACTAAACATGTCGAATGTAGAGTGAGAGATGTCATAGTGTGAAAAATACTGTCAAAACAGTCTAATGGATAAATAAACATACAACTTTTGTTTTTGTTTTCATATGTAATTAGTTTTTTGTCAGCAGTATTGCACCAGATTAAGGTCACCTAAATAAATAAATAAATGTTTTATCAACCAAACCTATCTAAGGTGAAACTAATCAGATATTATATATGTTATACTATATAATTGAAAAAGTAGAAATCCTGCATGATAATGAACACTCATCTGAACTATTAACGTTCAATTTAGATTTTGACTTGACTGAGTTTAGCTCATTTTTTGTGGTAATTTTCTGTTTTGCACATGTCTGTGTTACACCCCCTTTTGACAGCTACGGGACCGTCCTTTTTGGACACTTCCTGCTTTTTGAGCTCGAGCTGCAGCGTGCGTGTCCCGGGCTAACAGGGTGGGTGGTTGTTTGTCGCAGCAGTGTGTTTGTGTGCATTTAGGACTACAGCTGCTGCTGGGACGGACATATAGTAGCCTATGTCATTATCACCATCTCCTTATCGTGTATTTGAGCAAGGAGGAAATGAGGCGTAGCGTTCCGCTTTAAGGGTGCAAGGGAGAGGTAAGAAACCCCGGATTCAAACAGGTGTCCGGTCGACTCCCATCAGGAGGAAGAGAGAGAAAGGTGACAAAGGCGCCGGAGGGATATTGGGATTAATTGTCTAGAAAATAGTGCTGTTAATAGGCAAATCAATCCGCTAATTTGAGGACGTGTCATTTCTTTTTTTAAAACCGTGCGCTTTGGTCCAACGGTGATGGAGACCCGACATGGAACCCAGAAGAAACCTAGATTTTAATGTCGGAATTATCTTGGTAAAATAAAAAGATAGCTAAGCGTGCATCTGCGTTGCTCTCAAGAGGAGGAAGAGGAGGTGGTTGAAGAGGGGAGGCGGTGACTGACGTCCCCCACGGGACAGGCCGAGCGACCCACGCTTCTAACAGGTGTGTCTGAAGAGGGCTCCACTCTGCACCGCCCGTCCTGCCGCTCCGTGCCCCCTCCCTGCCTGCCTCCCGGTCCCTTCTCGTGTCACATTGTTCCTGCAGAAATTGCATCCGAACAGGGGCCGGGTTTGGACTTTAATTCGGCCGTTTTTGGCATCCCCAGTGAGCGCTTATTCTTTTTCTTGTTTCCGTCTCTTCGCAGCTATCCGTTGGTGCGTATAACAGCTGAGCAGGATATCCAAACGGCTAATTTTGAGACGTTAATTTATAAAAAAAACCGGATGGGACTTTGCAGCGTGTTCGTATTTTTTGAGGAAAAGAGACAATTTAAAGGGTTTAACTAGTCGAGCTATAGGGAAGATTTTGTTGAATTTTTTTTCACTATAATTGGAAGGTTTGGACTGATTTTGCCCCCTGGTGAAAAGGCACCGTTGGTACTGTGGTTTCGGCGACGTTCGCTAGCCAAACCGAACCCTGAGATATTTTTACCGGACGAACAAAGTGGGCCTTTTAACGGACTATCTTGTTAAAACAAAGTGCACCTCGTTTTATCATGACAACGAGGAAAGCCAACAGTGTGGCGGACACGGTGACTACCTCCACCACCAGCAGCAGCACCACCACCACCACCACCAACCACCAGAACCAGCCGAGGAGCCGGAGTCCCAGCAGCGGGGTTCCCGGTGCCGAGGCTGCGGGCGGAGGGGCGGAGATGTTCGGTGCATTTCAGGACTGGTGCCTGCGGACGTACGGGGACACCGCCAAGACCAAGACCGTGACCCGGCGTAAATACAACAAAATCCTCCAGACTCTGGTCCAGGGGGACGAGGAGAACAGCAATGGGGTGTTCCTGCACGAGAAAGGCAACAACCACATCAACGCCAAATTTAAATTCTGGGTCAAGTCCAAGGGCTTCCAGGTCCGGACGCTGCGGGACGAGAAGAACGGGTCATCGGACAGAGCGGTGCTGTACGTGCCCATCAAGGCGACGGTTAGTGCATCTTCCTCTTTCACTCTGAGCGATGTGTGTGTGTGTGTGTGTGTGTCCTGTTCCACGTTGCGTGCGTGTCCATCCAGAAGAGGCTACCCTTATTTGCCTAGAGAAAAAAGGTCTGTAGCCTATGTGAGTGTGTGTGTTTTCGCCTGAACAACATAACTTTTCCTGGCTCAGTGCCATGGCTACAGCAGACACCTGTTCCAATACAGAGCTGAGCCTGTTAGTGGTTTTGCACTGCTAGCCTACTTTTTTATTTTAAAACCCACATTTTTTTTTATGAGCCTGTCCCAGTTGACTGAGAGACAATATACTGGTTAAGCTACAGACAACGTTGTACTAACAATGCACCTTTATTCATCTGGTAATCAATCTGTTAAAAATATACATTTGTGAGTCGTTTTCTGACTGCCAGCCCAGGATATGTTAATTTTAATGATGAAACCAAGGAAGGGAAACAACTATTGACATTTAACAGGCTTCAACCCCTCATTATATAAATATCTACACACCACTAAACTTATTTATTCTGTTATGAAAAGGAAAATTGTAAAGACAGAAGTCTTCAAAAAAGCTTGCAGCTTTTTATGTGTCTGTAGTAGAGTTTGGTTTAGCACTGCTGGGTGTCCCAACTGAAGTTGATGAATTATCTGTCAATCTTGCCCATCACTAAAAGGGTCACGATTATCTGTCTCATCTTTACTTCTGCCCTCTTTTCACTCTAGTATTGACATTTGAACCCAGAGTTTCCCAAGTGACCCATTTTGAGCTACTTAAAACTCACCTTTCTTGCTTTAATTTAATTTAAAGGTTGAATGCTTCCCCATTAAATTAAGAATGGCTGCGTATTAGGAATCTAGGTATGCTGTTTGTGACCACACAGGGTAAAGTCACATATTTGGACACAAGTATTTTACAAATGAACCTGTTTTTCTTAAATTAGCTAATTTCAACCAGGTGTGATGTTAGGTGTGATAGTTAGCTTCTTTGCCTTCTTCAATAATGATGTTTGTTGTGTCTGCACAAAGGTGCAGTTTTCTTGCTGCTAAATGTTTCATGAAGTTGATATAGACTTCATCATTATGATTTACAATCAGTAAGTTATTCATTGCAGCAAAACAATGTGAACATTTGGTGGTTTATCATTCAAATATATTTGTTAAGGATGTGCACAAATGATGCCGCCATTAAAAACACCTACTCGTAATCATAAGCAAATTATGAATGATTGTTACAGTCAAAATCTTATGAAAAGGACACATTACAATTGTTGGGCTGATTATTAACATGATCTGGTTAGTGCTTAAATAATTGGTTGATGCATTCATTCATGAGTGCAACAAATCCAAATATTCACTGTTTCAATCCCTCGAATGTGAGAATTTACTTATCTATCTTTTATATCTTTTAGGTTTCTAAGGTTCTGGATTGGTTGTTTCAGAAAACAAGCCAATTTGTGATGAATTTGTCAAAAATATTCTGACATTTTACACATGGAAATATTAATAAATAATTAAATTGTTGCATCTTTACATTTCAATGACAGTCTTTGCTGCCCATGACTCTCATCATCAACCATTTCATCTACTGTATATTTGTCTTTTTTTTTTTAATGAAAATGTCTTGTCTGTTCTAACATCATGACTTTTGCTGTGATTCTAAGCAGAATCCTCTCTATTTCCAGCCATAAATTGGTAATTGTATGTAGCTATTGAAAAAAAGGTGTTGCAGGAGCGTATTTATTGCTTTACTCTTTATTTTTCTCTTGTGTCCTACGCATTGTTGGTGTTTTCAAAAGCAGAGAGCACTTGTTGACAGCGGAGAGCAGTTTGAGTGGGATGACACACAAATATATGAATGAAAGGAAAGAAAATGGTCTTATTTCTGAAATTGCAAAACGCTATTTATATATAGAAGTGATTCAGTCTGTCTGTATTTTCAAACAGATAGTGAGTCTGTGGAGAGCTGGGTCAAAATGATTTGGTTTTATATCTGCAGACTGGAATCAGGGGTTGGTCAGATGGCTACACACACACACACACACACACACACACACACACACACAGAGAGGCAGGTCGATGTGATGCAGGATTGCTGTGGAGATGAGAAGTGTTTGAGATGCTGGTTGGCATGGTTACCGCTTGGCTAATTTCACCCTGTCCCATATCATTTCATATTCAGATTAATATCAGGAGCATCGCAGCCGGGACTGGGAATCCTCTTGCACAGTTTATCTTCTGTTAATCCGTGTGTGTGTGTGTGTGTGTGTGTGTGTGTGTGTGTGTGTGTGTGTGTGTGTGTGGTGTGTGTGTGTGTGTGGTGTGTGTGTGTGTGTGTGTGTGTGGTGTGTGTGTGTGTGTGTGTGTGTCTGTGTGTGTGTGTGTGTGTGTGTGTGTGTGTGTGTGGTGTGTGTGTGTGTGTGTGTGTGTGTGTGTGTGTGTGTGTGTGTGTGTGTGTGTGTGTGGTGTGTGTGTGTGTGTGTGTGTGTGTGTGTGTGTGTGTGTGTGGTGTGTGTGTGTGTGTGTGTGTGTGTGTGTGTGTGTGTGTGTGTGTGTGTGTGTGTGTGTGTGTGTGTGTGTGTGTGTGTGTGTGTGTGTGTGTGTGTGTGTGTGTGTGTGTGTGTGTGTGTGTGTGTGTGTGTGTGTGTCTCATCCTTGGCAGCAGCAGTTTTGTTGAGTCTGTTCAGTATCTGAGGATTGGGCTGTTGAGACTGCAGAGAGAAAGAAATCCCTTGAGTTTTCTCTTGAACTTGAACTGAGTATGCGTCTGTGTTCTGCTCCTAAACAAAACTGTACCGATGTTGTAAAGAAATCTCCAGAGCATGGATGTTTAAGCTAGTCCTCTTTTTAAATTAGGCTATTGTAAGGTTCCCCCAGATACAAAAAACAAACATATTTTCTCACTTCCCCTCTAGTGGTATCTAGCAGTGCAGATTGTTTTGGTCACATTTCGTTTGAAACATTTGTCTTTGCTGCCACCTCAATAACAATCGATGTGGTTAGTCTTGAAAATCCAGAGAAATTAAAAATGTCAATGTTTCATAAGGACCGTTTTTGTAAGTGCATAGTTCCAATGAACCATAAACATCACTGTGACACAGAGGGGTGTTGGGGTTGTCCCGTGTAAGAGGGACATTTTTTCTTAAAGACCAGTTGCTGTGATTTCATTTTTAAATTACTCTTTGTTCCCCAAGCTTTCATTTAGGACAAAGATGATTTGTGTATCCAGACTGAACCCCTGGTTATCATTTGATAATGAGTCGTTATTGTGTGATCAGTTTCTACTTAAAAAAATCAAACAATGGAGCTCTATGGTACAGAGGAAGAGTATTAATGAGGTTTCGATACACAGACAGCACTTGTTAGTAAACATTAGATGTTGGTTTTGGGCTTAACAATAAGACGAATAAATACTATCACTAGTCATTTCTTGAGAGTCCCATATGACCAGTGTATCTGCACAGTTACACAATGAGCAACTTGTCATGCTCATCAGCTTTCCCTGTAAATGCAAAACACAACAGTCAAGGCATTATGTCTTTAGCAATACAGGAAGTAAACATCAGATGACGGTAAATGATAGCGACAGCAGGAAAGTGTGTCATTTTGTGTTTCAAAACTGTCAGCATGTTGGTTTCAAGAAAAATCCGTTGTGCAGATTGAAGCTCAAGTCTTCTCATCTCCTACCCGTTGAGCAATGTAAGAAATACATGCCAAACTGTTGAACTACACGGGGTCCTAATGCTGTGTTTATGGCTCAAATCAGCATCCTGCTTTCTTTCTGTCTGCGCCCTGCTGAGAGGGGTATGACCTGACTGCAGCAACAGCTGATCAGACACTGTTTACACACTGGTACACAAAAGGCGTGTGTGTGGGAGACAAAGAGATTATATCACTCAGCTGAGGTATAAAACAATGTAGGGATGTTTAAATTGGAGACAAAAAGGTTGAGGACACAACAGTATCATTACTCTACCTGAGGGACTTGAGATTTACTTTGGAGCCAGCTCTTAACACATGTAAAACACACAGGTGACACTCATAACAGCTTGGAAGAAATCAGAACAGACACAGGAGGCATATCAGAAGACTGATGAAGAATATTAATCGGGTAAAGTGACAAAGAACTGACACTGATTCCTCCCCTTTGTTTGCATTCATTACTCCCTGTCTGTGTTATACACACGCTCTTAACCCATATATTGGCCTTTTGAATGGATTTGCGCTGCAGCTTTATCGTTTTGTCTTTATTTCCAGTTTCATGTTAAGTACTGAATTAATGTCTATACACAGCAGCCCCGACCTTTTAAAAATGATAAGCTCAAGAACTATTATATGCATCATAGATGTGAAAGTGTGCCAAAGATGCATCTTATGTTTGGAGGATTAGATTGTGTTCTGTACCAAGAGATACAAATATGTATTATCCATGGGATTTATTTTATTTTGTAGAAGCAGTTACACAGTGCTTATTCCTGCTTCAGCCATTTAAAATGTGCTTTTACCAGTTAAGTATTCTGAACATTCTTACAAACATATCGGCAAATTATTGTCTAAGGAAATAGTACAATTTAATTGATTTGAGTTTTGAACTGAAAAGCATTGTGAGTTTTAGGAATTTAGGATTTGGATTTTATGCTTTTTTTGACAATTTATTGACAATCTAAGTATTTAGGTTTGAAAAATACTGGCTGATTATTTGATTATGAAAGTTACCACGACTGTTTTCCTTTCTTATACATTGTTTTTGTCAGGAGAACCCATAGTTCTGTACCAATTTGATGACAAAACTGTGAAAATGTTACATCGCTTGTTTTTAACAGCACTGCAGGTACTGTGGGTACCCAGGGGATCGGGACTAATGACGTAGCGTTGATGCGTTAACATTCAAGAGGAAATAAGACATTTTCATTTGATTCTGCTTATACCTAAAGCACACAAGTTGGCCGGCCCTACTGCTGGATTTCCTCTCTGCTTTCTGTCAGATATCTGCTGCTG